AGGGAAAGCTCTTATTATCCACAGAAGGAGAGAAATTGGATCTAGATTATTAGCACAATCATGTGCAGTAATTTTGAAGTCCTTTGTGATTTTTTTGTTATTGTAAGCTTCAGGACTGAGCTGGAAACTGATTTTTAGAACATGTCTTCAAAGGAAGAGACCAAATTTTTATATTAATTTTTGCAGTTGTCCAGTTACTGACTTTCAGGCTAGGAAAAAGTGCAATCAGTATAGACCTGAAATGACAGCATTTACCGCTAGATCCCCCCTTGTTTATATGGCTATCATCCTCCTCCACATTGACTGATGTCTCTATTTGAATTGCAGATAGATAAAGAAATAGTCCTGCTAAGTGTACTTAAAGAGCCTGTCAGCCGTTCCATATTTGATTACGTCTTAAGATCAAAGGATATCACAAGCCTCTTCCGACACCTTCAGATGCGTCAGAAGAAGAGGAATGGTGCTCTTCCTGACTGCCCACCCCCTGAGGACCCTGCCATTGCACAGCTGTTGAAGAAACTGCTTTCACAAGTGATTGGTTTTTATTTGTACTTTGAAAGTCAGGCTGGAGGTTCCTGGGCTCTCTATGTCTCCAGAGACCCTAACCTTGCAGTTGTTGCTCTGAGGGACTCCCAGTGTGAGGTTCTGATCCTGCAAACCATTGACTTCACTGATTTCAGTATCTGCTCGTAGGACAACGAGTTCAGAAGTTAAGGAAGATTTTTAAAAGATCTGCCAGATTTCCTAAATACATCCTCTTTTTAAAGACCTCAGTTGTATGTCTCAAGATTTTTGCCATATCTGTGATGGTATCAGTGTTACAGAATATGTGCTGTGTATTGTGTTGGAGAGAACAATATGCATTTGTTGAGGAGATAGACATGCAACTAACAGCGCAAAAGCCAAAGGGAGCTTGAAAGTGTTGAGGCTTATGTGTGAACAGGGGAACACTAAGAATGTCCCACACAAAGTAGTGAGAACTGAGAAGAGGAAGGACTGCAGCTGAGTGTGTGTGGGGTTTTGGTTTTGTTTTCCCTATGGCTTGTGGGCTTTAACCATGGCCTAGGTGGCAACTAAGCAGATTGCATCAGACAGCGATCTGATATTAAATGCTTCTTCTGCCCTTTGACGATTCCTAGCCTTGTTTTGAGGAGGAAAGATATTCTTATACTACAGCAGCTTACCCAGTCTTGTATCTGTGGTAGACTGATGTCTTGAATTCCGGGGATGTGTTCTCTCCTTCCGCTTCTGAGCCAGTCATTAATTTTACTGCTTCTTATGTCTTCATGCCTCGATGCATGTTCTTGTTCAAAAGTAAATAATATTGTCTTTTCTTTTATTCTGTAGGGGATGACTGAAGAGGAAGAAGACAAACTGTTAGCACTGAAAGACTTTATGTTAAAATCAAATAAAGCTAAAGCCAATATAGTGGATCAGAGCCACCTACATGACAGCAGTCAGAAAGGGGTGATTGACTTGTCAGCTCTGGGTATAACTGGGAGACAAGTGGATCTTGTTAAAACAAAGCAGGAGCCTGATGACAAACGAGGTTGGTATATTTTGTCGTCTATATAGATAAATAAAGTATAGCTTTTCTTACAGGGTCAGAGAATTAATTCTTTAATTTACTCAGCAAGTGTTCTCAGTAATTCAGCCTACATAACTATTACCATCCTCACTGAGATTGCAGTAAGAAAGTCCAGCATGGCTTCTCTATAGCTTGCTGCTATTTGAGATGTGATGTGCTGGAATGCTCTCTGGATCAGTGAAAGATGGGCATATTTTGGCACTGAGAGCATTTAATAGTTTGACTGCATTTGCAGTAGTAATATGCACAGGTTATTTAGCTGGTTGTGACAAACTGTGACCCATGGTAACAGTGTAAATTAATGAAGGCTGCATTTCTGCTATCTTGTTTCCTCTCAAGAAGTGATAAGCTCCTAAACTGTGAAAGTCCACGATGTTTTATTGAGGTAGCCTGGAGGAAACTGGCCTAAGTGTGATGCTGAAATGAGCTGGCACTGAGGAGTGCCAGCTGTTGCTCACCCACCAAGTACGTGCTTTTTGACCTTAGGGTTCTTCAGCTGCACATCCATTCCTATTTTACTTTGTTGCCTGCTCCTCTTTCTGCTTGAAAGACCTCTTACATTTCCTTGTTCAGCTTTGAAATCTACTTGCTGCTAACTCCATTCCAGTTCTCTGTATCCTCAAAATTCTTCTTTTCCAGACAGTGAGCTTCCTCTTTGTTCTGTCAAGCCTGTAAGGCCCTCCTCTGTACACCTATAGGTTCTGTGTTTTCAGATGTAAAATACAGAAATATCTGCAAACCAGGTAGCTATTGTCTTCTTATTTACAGAATTAAGGTGCTAGTCTGCAAATGTTTTGCATATCATTTTAAAGGAAAATACGTAAGTACAGGATTTCTCAGTTTTTTCCATACTGTGGAGTCAGAGTGGACAGGATTTAAAAGTTAGTATATGAAGCATGTTATTGAACTGATTGGCTTCACCCAAAACTTTCACCTACAAAAGTCTTTATGCCTTTAACTTCTTCACTTTGTCCAAATTTAATTTGTCGCATGTTTTCATTTAACTTTCTATATTTTACAGTTGTAACTGACTCCAGAGGAATGCTTAAAATAAATACATTTCCTATTTACAGATAACATTTTTGAATCTACAGGTGATGTTACAATTGTGATGGAAAACTGATTGAGTTTGACACTGACAATGATTTGCATACTGTGCTATTAGAAATTGATCCCTGTCTTGTGCCAGTAATGGTGTAACTTTCATAAGAAAAAATTATCATTTGGAGTCTAATGCTGCAGCCTTCTAGACACAAAATTTCCCTATACTGGAATCATTTATTGCATGAGTCAACTGTAGGATTAAGAAGGTGTAAACAGAGCACTTCCTATGTGTGTTCTGTTTGCCTCATAAATCCCTGTCAACTGACTTAAACAACCTAGCAGTACGTTTTTCTCTATTAACTATTTAAATAATAAATTGGCATGTAAACATTGGACTCGTATGTAGTCTGAAAGTAATAACCAGCCTGAGTGAATGTTGTCATGACTATGGCTTTTTTTTTTCCTCTCCTCTGTCCTCCCTCCCGATTGCTTATAGCTAGAAAACATGTCAAACAAGATTCAAATGTAAATGAAGAATGGAAAAGCATGTTTGGGTCCCTGGAACCAACTAACATCTCCCAGCCAATACCCAAAGGACATGGGCAAACTACTGATCCTGAAGCCATCCAGTCTGGTAAACCACTTCGTTCAGAGTCCTCAGCTGGCATTTGTTCCACTTTGTCATCCTCCCCACAGGTATTGCTGAAAAATACTATATTCACATCACAACTGAAATGATTCAATTGTTTTAAAAACAAGTGGGACTACAGGGATGTGGCGTTCGTGTTTTGTTTTGAGGTTATTTTACGCTGGTGCTGGTCCCTGATGTCTTCTCCAGGAGAATAGCTGACTTTAAAGTTCTTATTTTTAAAATAGGGATTGAGAGAAGATGGAAGTAAGTTTAGTCAGTTGAACAGAAGCGCTTCACTAACAAGTAGATGCTTTGCTTGAAGAGATGGGGCTTTGTGGATTAGACAGTTATTAGGTAAGCTCTTCTGGCAGGGAAGACTTTTTCTCAAATTGCATGATATGTGTTGTGAGGAAGAGAAGAGATGTCATGATTTTATCTTGGAACTGGTGTATCACATTATAGCTGCATTTAGACATCCTGTACCTGTAATACTTAGTAAGGATGGGCTGGGAGCCCTGCAGGCTGTGAAGGCATCTCTTGACACTGCACACGTCTTTCTATTCTGTTTCTAGTTGGAGATTAACCTCTGCTAGCTTTAAGTGAGTGTTCACTCTGAACCAAGAGGGGAAACACTTCACACTTTTATTTTTAAAATAATTGTTCAGGAGCTAACCTATATTTATGTCAGTCTTGAGAGCAATAACTGCTTCTGTAATAGTCACATTAAGAGGTGTGCATGGTACATTCCAGTTTCTACAAGTAGAATACAGAACAGACTAGGCAAACAGGGTAGAATAAGTGAATGGTTAAGCTTTTCTATAAATAATAATATTCACTATTTTAAATTGTTTTCATGCAAGCATGATTTTTTTTTAATGCTAATTCATTGCTAATTGATTCAATAAGAAAGATTTTTCCACTTTTCTTCAGTGTGACCCAGTAATCTGAAGAGCAGGATTTATATGTTTGTGGAATGCTTATATCTTACAGGCATCTGATGGAACAATCGTTCAACCCAGGAAACTGGCCATGCAGGTACTGAGCAGTACAGCAACTGTATCTGCACACCAATTACGCATCACCACTTGCAAAACTGAACTTCAGCAGCTGATCCAGCAGAAGCGAGAACAGTGTAATGCAGAGAGACTTGCCAAACAGATGATGGAGAATGCAGAGTGGGAGAGCAAGCCCCCACCTCCAGGTAAATAACAGGCCACTGAGGTTATTATAAAAAAAAAAAAAAGTGTGTATAATTTGAGTCAAAACATAATCATCTCAAGAAAAAAATTGCAAAAGATGAGGAAAAGAGGAAATTATTGGTTTAGGAAACATGCCTACTATGTGGAAACCTATTTGGAAAAATACATGCATGACCTATGAAAGAGGGTCTGGAACAGAGATCTTTACCTTTGCAGTAATGGAACTTAACCACTGGTCTGAAGTCCAGATTGTGAGTTTTTTTGAAGTGGGTTGTTTATAACCAGGTATATGGCAGATAACTTGCCATTCTGTAACAGCCTGTCACTTGGTTTGGACAAAGGGAGAAACACTGTGTTGAGAAGTGAGAAATGTGATTATTTTGCCTTTAGTGGCTCCAGATTTTCAGCCATCCTGTGAGTGTTGTAACCTCTTGGCCAGGTTTTCTTACCCAGTGGCACACAGACTGGGGTGGGTTGTGTGGGCTACCCTTCTTTACAAAGGAGCCTGTCTCCACCAGCAGTGGTGACAGCAAGTCAGTGCCCAGCCACAAAGAGAAGATGTGTGTTCCCATACTAAAATGTTGCTTTCAGAGGGGAAGGAGAGACAGTTTTACTGCTGTTCCCTTTTGCTTTACCTGAAAGGAGCAACACTCAGGTTTTACTAATTAGGACTCTGGCAGCCACTCTAGAAGTGCAATTTTGAAGCTCCAAATTGAGATTGGGGTTTGCCCAGATTAGTTCTCAGCATTTTCTGATGGTGTTATCCATTCCATGCACTTCTTGCTGTGTACCCTCTATGGAGATTGCTGAATGTCCTCTACTAATGTCAGTTCATGTGCTTAAACTCCAGATGTTGGGAGCAGAATCTTTACCAGCCAGGCTTGCAGTAATCAGCACAGTGATGCTGAAATCTTTTGGTAAATATAGCATAAATGCACAGACCTGGGCATATACAGCTCCCATGTCAATTTAAGAGAAGTAGTAAAAAATCATCAGGAAAATGGTACAACCAGATAGCATTTGAACATAACTAACCTTGACTGAGCTTGGCTAAGCCGTATGTTTGTCTTCTGAAGAGTTTTACAACCTATGAAATAATGTGCCCCAATACAAGCAGCTGACCTGCTCTGCCATGCAAGTGACTGAGTGCCAGAAAAATATTAATATTTAAAGTTTGTGTCTTATACTGAAATTTGCTGTGGTCTACCCTTCATTATCATCTGCTCTTAATCCTTCATTATAGTAGATGCATGTTAGAAGTGCAGCCAGATACTTCTGCATTTCTTATTTCAGAGGAGGAGACACATCACAGAAATATTGGAATTTTTTTGACAAGAGTTATTGCGTGGCAGCTCAACTCTTCAGTTTATTTTTGGAGGTCTGGAATAAATTTTCTATGATATTTAGAAGAGCTGTTATTTCATTTTATTAGGTACATAAGGCTGGCAATGTAGCATGGGGTGCCACACTGAGCTTGTCACTTCAGGCACTCTGCAGACAGTCCAGGAATTTAAGTCTTCAAATGCGTTGCTCATTTTGTGCGTTCTGGATATTTATGGGATTGCCCTTTGCAGCACAGCAGTCTGCATAGGCTGATAGTGGGAGAACTGTGCATTAGTATCCCTACAAAGTCTATGAAAAAGGGCTCTTTGTAATTTCACTGAATGTATGTGGAACCCATTTAAAAGAAAGCTCTAACCCAGATCTGACAGTAGGGTTTAGTTTAGAATTGAGCAACTGGACTTTTGCCTTTAATATTTAAAATGCGTTAGCTCTGTGTTTTCAGTGCCTTCTGTGCTTTGCAGCTGTGACTATATGCCAATACAGCTGTTGGTGGATGGGATCAGGGGGATTTTCATGTTCCTGTTAAGTTACAAACTCAACGCCAAACTTCATGGTTTTGTTTTTCCCTGCAGGATGGCGTCCCAAAGGATTGTTGGTAGCTCACCTTCATGAACACAAGTCCGCGGTGAACCGCATTCGGGTCTCTGATGAACACTCCATTTTTGCCACTTGCTCGAACGATGGCACAGTGAAAATCTGGAACAGCCAAAAAATGGAAGGAAAAACCACTACAACCAGGTAGATTTAAAACTCGTAGGACTTTGGAGCTGCTGTTTTAAAATGCAAAATAAATTAGCAGGGAGCAAAATATGAATAATTTGTGGATGAGCTGGAGATTTCAATAATGAAATACACTGGTGTTCTTCTTTGCATACAATTATAAAGTATTAGATTGCTGTTTCAATTATTTAATAAAAGAAAAAAAAAATGTTAGCAAATTGAAAGGGACTGCTTTGCAGTTGTAGTAATTATAGGCCTTTTGATTTCAATTCTGTACAGACAAATATATTCTGGTGCTGCTGTTTAAACTCATCTGAGGTTTTTGTAACAAATTAGCTTTATGCTTTACTGTCTTATCCACTGATATATGATGGAGGAAGGCTGTATTACTGGTTGAAACATGGGTGGTATGGGGCTGACAGTCTCCAAGAGAGAGATTTTTGGGAGAGAGGATGTCTCTCAAAATACTTTAAAAAAGATGTAGTGGACTGCAGTGTCAGTTAAATAACAGTAACTACAGTATGCTACTTGGATACAGATCTAAGTTAGACACTTATTTTACTGGTAGACAAATGTGTGCATCTGCAGTTGGAAACTCTCATAACCTAAAACCTCAAAGATGAGGAGTTAAGGTTGCAGAGACAGTTTAGTCTATGTTGCTTTCCAATGCGGGAACACTTAGTTATTTTGAAAGCTCTCTCAAGAGTCATTGGTTTTAAGTAGGTGTTTGACGGAAGTAATTGGGTTTTTTTAATATGCCACAAAAAGTTTCATTTTTTCCTCTCACTCTCTCTCTATTGTTTAGATCCATTTTGACATACTCTCGGATTGGAGGACATGTAAAGACACTTACATTCTGCCAAGGCTCACATTACTTGGCTATAGCTTCGGATAATGGTGCCATCCAACTTCTTGGTATTGAAGCTTCAAAGCTCCCTAAGTCTCCTAAAATTCATCCAATACAAAGCAGGTATGTACATAGAGCAGTTAAGTCTCACTGCAGAGCTCAAGCTGTTAGTATATTCCTTGATTAGATCCATTGATTTGGCTCAGGCTTCCTGCTGGCTGAGCCTAGGCTGTACTGGAAGGCTGTAATCCCTCAGTTTCTGCTTCATGAAGAAGGGTTGAAAGGCAACAGTGCAGAGCTGAGGATTGATAGCTGTAGGTTACTGGTGCCTCCTGTGTCACTGAGCTGGTTATGAGCTTGAAACAATCAGTCTGAATAGTTCCAAATTCTTTTATTTATGCACTGGGATTGGTAGTTTCTTACCTCCTCTGTTACAATGTTAATACTTAGAAAGTAATTTTGGAGATTCTTTTACAGGTCATTAGAAAAATGTTTACAAATGTACAACATGTGGTTTGGCCTCAGGCCTGCAATTTTTTCTCTCAGGCTTTTAATGTGCATAAGGTGGCAAAGATATGGGTGATGCGATACTGTTTAGGGGAGTATTTGGGGATGGTTTAGCTCTTTCTTACCTATCTCCATATGAGCAGTTTTTGAATATTTGACAATGATTCAACAGCTTAATCTTGCAGCTTGAGTGAGGGACATGTCCAGACCCTAGCCAATCTAGCAACCATCTCAAAGACCTCTTTTCTTTACGAAGTAAAAGTAAGGTATCTGTCTCAAATGTCGTCTCTTATTTGGGATCAAGTTCAGAAATGAAATAAGCCAGATCTAATAGAGATGGAAACTACAGACCAGATTTTCCCATTTGGTACACACTGCATTTGCACTTGAAGAAGGTGTCCATTTGCACACACAGTGATTGGCAGTATAACATGGAGAGGGGTATTCCTGCCTATAAACTGTGGGTAGATGAATATCTGATAAACATGGAGCACAAATGGGAGAGAAATATCAAACACACTGAGAGACCCCAGAGCTACGTTTGTTTGCAAGAGCTGCTGACAGCATTTTACTAGCCCATAGAGGACTTACAGGTCCTATTAGTAGAGAGATTTGGGAGAGCAAAAGCATCTGTTGTACTAAAATCAGAAAGTTGTTTCTAGCAGATGCCTTGAGATGTGACACGAAGAGGAAAATGTTGCTCAGCATTAGTTATTGGAAGTAGTCTTAAAATTGGAGGGAAACATATCTGTTTCTAAATTAGTTTATGCTTTTAACCCAGGTCTTTAGATCTGAAGGATGATGGCTGTGTGGTAGATATGCATCACTTCAATTCAGGAGCCCAATCAATACTGGCTTACGGTACAGTTAATGGATCTCTGGTTGGATGGGATTTGCGATCTAGCAGCAACGCTTGGACGCTGAAACATGATTTGAAGTTGGGCCTCATAACTTCATTTGCTGTGGACATACACCAGTGCTGGCTGTGTATTGGTAAGCCTGTATTTCTTGTTAGCTTCTCTCTCCTGCCCTGCCCCCTCTGGTTTTCTTTTACAGTAACTATACTCAAGCTTTTGCTTGATCTGATTTGACTAGAATATGCTTTTCTCAAACAAGAGGAGAGAAATACTTCCTGATCTGTTTGTGGGAAGTATTCTGTCTTCTAAGTACTTGAGGCTGAAGTCCATCTCTCTAGGAACAGAGCAGAAGGATATGGGCAAACCCCCATATATATTTCCCTCTGATTGTGGGGAGCTTTCTCTCACCAGGAACAAGCAATGGTACCATGGCATGCTGGGACATGAGGTTTCAGTTACCTATCTCCAGCCATTCTCATCCTTCCAAGGCCCGAATCAGACGCCTGCTCATGCATCCTGTCTATCAGTCCTGGGTAATTGCAGGTAAATGGTGTCTTAAATTTACCTCACAGTTGCCAGAGGTTGTGATTAAAGCAGCTTCTGTTTTAGCTTCTGCTTCAAACCCTGGGGACTTGCTTGCTTGCTTGTTTGTTTTTCTCCCTTGTAGTTTTTCTTGTGCTTTGCTTGGGGAGAGGAAAGGAAAAAGGGGAGGTTCATACTTGTGTTCTGCCACTGCTTTTCCTGGCTTTTTGAAATTAAAAGACAGGCAAAGGGAAGGAAGTAGTGTTAAGCCATTACAAAAATGTCAGCCTTTACAATTCTCATCTTCTCATCTTTTTCATTTCTTGAAAAACCAAACTCTCATGAGGGTCCTTCCCTATGTGCTACCACATGACTTCTTAAGGACAAAACATCATGAAGGACAAAACCTAAACTCATGACATACACTGAAGTTGATGGCAGTTCTGCCATGCCACTGCCTTCAGTGCCTCTGTAGTACAGAGATTGCAACGTTACCCAATGCCAGTTCCCACTTGAATCTAACACAGCTCTGTCATAGCTTAGAGCTTTCAAAAATCTCCCAAGATTCCTCATCTGGTCTGCTCACAGCTGCTTCATCCTCAGTGCATGTACCACTATTGTATACTTTTAAGTGTTTATGTCAGGAATACATTCTGAAATGGACACGTGGCTTAAACTAATGCTACAATATCAGAATTGATAAAAGTTCCTGTAAAATGAGAGTAATTTGAGTTTCATATTTTACTTGCTTCTCAGGTGTCATTTCTTATTTTAGTTATTAACCACCCTGGGAGATAAATTTCTTGAAAAAACAAAGAAATAAAGCGAGCTTCTCTGTGCTTTCTAGTTTGTTTCCTTCCTGCTGTAGACTAAATCAGTGACAAAAGTTCATCACTTCGGAATATTATTAAAAAGTCCTTGCCTGCTAGGTTGCTGCCAGGCATGTAAACAAGCCCTTGAACAGAATTCCTTGCCTGTCTACAATTAAACGTGGGTGTGGAACTTCATTGGAGCTACTGAACTTTGTGTTGGATTGCTGTCTTACCTGCCCAGGAGTAATCTCAGAAGTCCCTGATGACCATGCTGAACAGATCATCCATCCTTCTCAAAGAAGGATGAGAATTTATCTAGGGAGGAAACTGAGGGTTTAATACCTTTTAAAAAGGGTTGGAGCTTAAAGCAGGTTTCATTTAAACTCTTAAAAAAGAGGCATCTTAGTGAAGCTTCTACTGAGTGTTAAAACCAAAAAAACCATGCATGACTTTATTGCTAAAGCAAGACTAACACAAATGCCACAGAGAGCAAGTGGAGAGTGTCTCTGTTATACCCTCTATACATCATGTCAGTAGAACAGGTAGCAAGAACCAACTGACCTGTTTTATATTTTTTGCATTGGCAATATCTTTCCTGTAGCTGTTCAAGGCAATAATGAAGTCTCCATGTGGGATATGGAAACTGGCGATCGACGCTTCACTTTGTGGGCCAGCAGTGCGCCTCCTCTTTCAGAACTGCAGGTATGGTGGGTTTTTTTTTTTTTCTTTTCCTGTTTCTGTTCTGTAGCAGGACCAGAACAATGTCAGACTCCATGTTGTGTGTTAGTACAGTTACTTGTCTCCATGGCCTTGTCAGTTTGACACCTGGAGCTTGCCCTGGGATTTATTTTGGCACTGTTTTGGTGGGCAGTGTAACCTGAATCTTCATTGGTATCTTCCACTATCTGTGGAATGTACTTGTGATGCTCACTTGCTATATCCAGTCATGTTCTTAGAAAAGCAGTGAGCCAGTCAAGCCTGTAAAGACTATGGCAAAGCCAAAATTAATGGTATGGCATCTTGTACTTACTTGTTGTTTCTGGATTGTGCATACTTCTGTAAGCATGTGCTCTTTTGCACATTGTTTCTGTATATAATGCCACTACTATGCTCAGCTGTTAGTTTAAAGCATGAAGTTCTTCCTTTTCAAGGAGTTAATTGGAGAAGGAGCCATCTGGGATATCTTTCATAAAACACAAATATATACACAAAAATAACCACAGCTGCTTCTATAAATGTTGTAAATGTAGATCTGGAATTACCTAAACTTGAATTTGTACGTGCTACAAAGATTGTATGTTCAAGTCATTTTGGCCACACACTTTACATACAAGGATCTTGTGATTCAGGCTAGTTTTCTTATACATGTCTGTCCTTTAATGTCTTCATAGCGTAAAAATTTGAGCACTCGTGCTTTTCAGTATGATTCACTTGCCTGATTCTATTAGAAATAATCTCTCTCATTTGTCATCATTGAGAATGTAATTTCCAAGATTCCAAAAAAGTATTATGCAGACTTAAATCTGTTGCGTTGCCCTGTGAAACATAAGGAATAAAAGGAAGCAATTTATCTAAATGTATTAAGATGTGGCCTGTTAACAAAGTAACTTGGTATTTGTCAGAAACATCTGGAAATTGGATGGTTGGATGGATGAGTGTGGTAAGGAATGCATTCCCTTTGTGAAGCATGGCAACAACTATTGGTGATAATTTATTTTTATATATCCCTTTCCCCTACTAGCCTTCTCCTTACAGCATTCATGGAATATACTGTAGTCCAGCATCTGGTAATCCCATATTACTGACAGCAGGCTCAGACATGAAAATAAGGTAATAAAACCAACAACACTTTTGTTTGATACCTTCCCTTCCACTCCTGCTGGTGTACTGAATTTTGCCAAGCTCCAAGAAGTCAAAACAATGCCAAAGATGTGTTCATTAGTAAACATCAGTGAGCTGAGAGAATTGTTCTCGGCAAAAGTAGTGCAAAACTCTGTACTTCTCTGAAACACAATATGTATCTTTCTGTAAAGTTCTTGATAGGCTGCATGACAAGAAACAAAATAACTCATATGGGGGCTTGGTATGAATCTTGATTGCTCTGCATCGCTCTTTTCCACTAACTGTAAAAAGCATACAGCATTTGTGCCCACTTATTTTCATCATAACAGCAAGACAGCTTTTAAACAGTTGTATTGAGCTGATAGAATTTAACATCTCAACTTGATTTTGTTCCTTTGTGTTTAGGTTTTGGGATCTAGCCTACCCTGAGAGATCATATATTGTTGCTGGAAGTTCTAATTGCCCATCTGTTTCCTACTATAGGAAGATAATTGAGGGCACGGAGGTGGTTCAGGTATTTTGCTTTGTTTGATAGACACCTATTCTGCTTGCCTTTTGGGTGGCCTCATGGGTTATATTAATTACATGATGGCTTTAACTATAACTATCTCACTCTTGCCTTTTATAGATGGTGTCAATGTGGCATTTCCAGGCAATTAGAAAGAAGTTATTTAAAAGAAAAAATCAGTTATTTTTGACAGAATTAGACTTAGCAAATACTACTTACACGCAGAAGCCAGAGTCGTATGTTTCTTGGGGGATACTGAAATCTAGTGTTTTAACACTTTTGACTTTGATCAATCTTTGGAATTTCTTTTGTGTAGGATTTTAGCAAGGCAATGTGAGCTGTATTGGCACCAAAATATGATGATAGTGGAACTCTGCAGTTTTTCTTACATCCTTCAGAGTGACTTTTGGAACTGACAGTGTTACTAGTTGTTGAATAGCACAATGTTTTGTTTCAGTTCGATTGAATGAATGCTACTTCAAAGGTGACTGAAAAAAAAAGTCAGTGAGGGTCTACCTATGTACTATGATATTTTAGTGTTTCATCTGAAGTTCATAAACAACTACATTCATGCTATTGAACTGTTTTTTTAAAAACGTTGAGGAGGTAAGATGTATCTGTTGCTGTAGCTTTTTTTTTTTTGCCTATAGGAATATCAAATCTTAGTAGTTAGTGTCATTGAAATAAATATAAGGGGAAAAAAAAAATTCTTTCCCTAATCAGATAGCTGTAATGACAGTTCAGATTAAGATTTAGGTTGTGTGTAATGAAAATAAATGAGCCAAAGTGTAATCCTAAGAAAACTATCAAAAGGTGAGAGGTCTTGTGCTTGGGGTTTGTGTGTTTGTTTTAAGAAGTTTTTTGGTCTTTTTACACTGACAACCTAATACATGTGACAGTTCCCCTTTGAAAATGCTCACCTTTCTGTAAATAATATTTCTTACTTTGTTTTTGTACAGGAAATTCAAAACAAACAAAAACTGGGGCCCACTGATGAGACCCCTCGGAAGGGTCCAGAGTCTCTCCCTGTCGGACATCATGATATTATCACAGATATCGCAACTTTCCAGACCACGCAAGGGTTTATAGTTACTGCATCAAGGGATGGAATTGTTAAAGTGTGGAAATAAAAGTTCTACTAATATACAGTATGTAAATATTTGTAATAAAGAAGTAGTGTTATAATGAAGTTTTCAAGGACTCTTTCCAGATCATGGAATAGAATGGACTTTAAAGACTATAAAGGTGATGATAAAATCGGTTATCTGTATCCTACTGCCCCGATAGCACTTCTTAATCACTTCTTTTATTAAAGATGTTTGGTATCTATAGCAGTTCCTTGAAATACCAAGCCATCTATGGAGAAATTGTTTAGCCTGGTCTTGACTACGTTGTTTGTTCAGGACCTTTCAGAACATGATTTAAAGATGTCCCACGTTACACATTCTAAAAGTGCAAAAAGCAAAGAGCTGGTACAAATACTTCAGTGTCTGACGGCTCCTATGTTGAATCTAAGAAATTAAGTAAGAACCAGTGCACCAATGTCCCTGTACATTCTAATAACTATAATAAAGTCCTCTTGAACTTCCCTGTTTGGTACTTGGGTTTCATTACATCTGTTGTTCCTCTGCAGTGATTGGGTAGTCTCAGCTACCAGAGCCATGGGGCTGTTAATTGTAGTTTGAGATCAGCTTAACATTGTGTCAGATCAACTGTGCTTTGTGCTTTGCATTCAGCTTGCTTTAAACTTGAGTCTAATGCTATGCTCTGCTGTCCTGGGAACCTAAAGCGGCACACCATGATGATGTTCTTTGGCATTTGGTATGGATATCAGAAATAGCCAAAACACAAGCTTTCAGCGGGAAGCATTTTTTCATCATGCAATGTTCATGTGAGAGGCAGTTCTGGAGGTCAGATGGGGACAGTAAACTTTCTCACCACTCTTCCACTGTCTGATCCAGATTTCCAAATGCTTTTCAGTCTCCCTGTCTTAAGCTTTATGCTATGAAGTAACTTATTCCTTACTTGCATTTCCAAGTTCTGCTTTACAGGGACAGAAGGTTATTTACTGCTAAAACAGGTAATTCACTCCCTCTGCATGGATGGACTCAGAAGGTCACTGACAACAAACAACACTAATTTGACATATGTGTTTTGAGTGTAGCGGAAAAAAAATGGAAGCCTACCGCTCTATAGAGTGTATGCTGGAAGCAGGGAATGGTCTTAACTTGTGAATTGAGTTCTCTGAAAAGACAGTGCATGAGATAATGACGTGAATTGTTTAAACAGAGTCTCAGAAGTCATTAGAAAAAGAAACTTGACTGAGGATGACTGCTTTTAGAGACTACCTGCTTTTCATTAGAGACTGCTTTACTTGGATAATTTAGTGTAGCAGTGTCCCGGTTTTGCTAGGACAGAGTTAATTTTCTTCTTAGTAGCTAGAATAGCTGTGTTTTATTTTCAGTGTAGGGTTTGTTATGAGAAGAATGTTGATAAGGTACTGTTAGTTGCTGCTGGAGCTCAAGGTCATCATGTTTGCCTGGTTCACAGCTGCATTAGGACTGGGAGGGAGAAGTGCAGTGAATAGCAAAACCCAAAATTGACATTTGGCTATGCCAATGAGATATTCCATATCATATCACATCATGTTCAGTACATTAACCAGGGGTAACTGGAAAACAGAGAATTGCTCAGGCTTGCTCTTCTGGGGTTTGGGTTTCTGGACTCTGCTCTTCATCAAGTATGCAATGAAGTGAGAAAGGAGTTTTTATTGTTTTCTCTCCATTTGCACTATCTTGTCTTGTTCCATTCAGCAAACTGCTCTATAGAAATATTTTCCTCTTCCTTTTTTTTAATCCGTATATTTACCGAAATATATTATATTGCATGATTTTTTAACCACTTGAACTCAGAGTCTTTCTCTTACTAGAGAGGGGGGGGTGTATATAAAAATTCACCAAGCTATTTCAGTAAAAGACTACATTAAAAATTCTAGCTAACTAGAAACCCCATAGCAGCTCCCAAAGGGTTATGTAGATCAAAGTTCCTGTGATGTCTTAAGGCTACCAAACTATATCTTAAAAACAAAATTTCATATGTGTTTGATACTGTAAATTACAAAGTGCTTTATTCATCCACTGAAGTGTAAAGAGCTTCCTCTGGCTACATCTGTATATATGTAAACACAAAACTTAGTGTATTCACTGTTACACCAAACAGAGAAGAAACTGAAAGGTCACACCCATAGTACTTTTCTTTTGTTGAATATGCATTGTGCTTCCTTAAGCCATTACTTCATCCACCCTGAGTCACTTTGCTGAATTTCTAGTCATCCTTAACAGAAAAGCGAGAACACACAGTTATGGGACAATTCATAAAGAGGACTGAAATGTCTGCAAAATGCCTTTCAGATCACAAAAATTTATGTCTCCGGACACAGGCAACTAAAGATATCCTAAGAGAAAAGAAAGATGAAAGGTAAAGTACGTGTGTACACACATGTTTGTGCACATGCATGTGAGCACCCACATTGATGCTTGCAGCACCAAACTTTTCTTGGAAACAAGCAGTCTGGTGCACTGTCTCTGCCTGCCTATGTCAAATAAACAAGATCAGTGTCTGGACTCACAAAAGCCTTTGGACTGTTGGCTAGTGGTCAGGTTGGCTGTATGCTCTGTGCTTCTCATTAAGATTTTCTGGTTTGTGATGGTTGAAAGATCCCGTCAAGAAAGCAGAACAAAGAAATCAAGTTTACCATCAAATGTATCATCAGATACATCAAACCTTTCAAAGGTTTTGATTTTCTACTGTTCACAACCATAGCTACTCTATCCCCACTATGCTGATGGGAGATCTCCAAAGCATCAAGTGTTTTCTTCAGGAAGCCTCTAACTTTCTGGAATTCATTGCTGATTGTTTTCCATGAACTACCAAGGATGACAGCTGCATTCACATATTCCTGTGGTGGAAAACATGTCATGTTTACAAGGATAGAGATCTGGATTGCACTTGTCTGTAAAAGAACATAAATTAGTACTTCTCTTTATAAAAAAATTAAAGTACATTATTTTAATATTATTAATAATATTTAATATTTTTATTTTAAAACAATGAAGAATATGAACTTGTGCATGCTTAGTTTCTGTCATAACATTCAGATCCAGCCCTGCAAATTAATCCTAGGGCATTAGCTACATTCTGGGCTATGCCCCCCCTTAATAGTGACGGAGGTACAGAAGCTACATCCACTGAAATTAATGCAGAAAACTCTCTCCGAGGTAGTGAACACTGGATGGGCAATTAAACAACAAGGCATTGCAATTAATAGAAGTGCCACAAGATGCTCTAACAAGTACCCTTACTGCAGGCACTATCACAAAACACCTTCTGCAGTTTTGGAATCAGTTGTGTTCACAGGCTTGTTGACTGAGAAATAGCATATTTAGTAGCATGAAGTAGCACTGAGGACTGAATGGGTCTCATCTTCCTTCAGCAACACCAAAATTATGGGTCTAGGCTGAGAGTCTGTAGTTAATGGGGGATTCTTAAGTCAGTGATAAAGCTGTGCTGACTATAAATGGAGAGTACACAAGTATATACTTCATGTTTAGACAGGTAGGAGAAGGTAAGATCTACTCCTGATCTATGCTGAGCTTTTTTTTTTATTATTTTATTTTATTTTTTTTTCTTCTCCTCACAGAGGTATTGTTTGAGATTTCTATTTGCAAGGGACAGGCACAGCCAAAATCTCCACAAAAGTGAATGCTTATTACAAACTGATGGGGCCCATTAAGTTGTTGTCTCCTTGCATGGGAAACACATCAGCTTCACTAAAACTTTAGCATGTGTTGAAATGAACAGTCTGGTTTGGTAGGTATCTTACATCTCTAAAATTACACTTGTTCCATCAGTGCATTTAACACCTTCAGATAATCACTTCTGTGTAATCACATCACACTGCTGACAATGAAACAAACTCTTTACTACTTTCCTTTTAATTACAGACACTGATAATAAAATTCCCTGTAAATAAAACTGTTTTGTTTTTCACAACTAGGAGCAAACTATCACTGAAGTGAGTTGTGGTGGACGAAGTGTTCAATAATCTATACTCAGATGACTGAGACATAATTAAGAAGTAACTGAAGTGATGATTAATAAGTAGTTGAATTTCTGTAAGTGAGCTACTAGAGCTACCAGAGAGAATAGCAGCATGAAATAGTTCAGTTCTTCTGGAGAAAATCTACTCTTTCTGCAGGTTTTTGCAGGAAAATATTATGTGCACTACATATTCTAATACAGTGTTCTGCTCAGTTTCAACCTTATTTGGTAAGCTTTGAGAGTCATATATTTGGGGTTTTATTGTACACAATTTTTTACCTAACAAATTCTGATCCAAAACCCACAAGCTACACACCCGTTTAATCTTTAGGTAAAGTCCATGTTACACCAGTCACATCTAGGATTAATATGGTCTCCAAACTTTATAAATTACATTTTAAAATAAAGCATTCTTACCAGATGTTAGACAGCCTTTCACAGGAGTTTACATTGATAGCAAAAATGTAAAGCAGTAATGTGGAAATACTCCGTGGGGGCAGAGATCAAGGTTGAAAGAGAAATAAATATAGGAAAAATCAGAAATACACTCACCCCATGAGCAGCCATGAATCCCTGCAGGTCTCAGCACAACCAGCAATTCAAGGGACTAATTCTAGTTATGAGAAGAGTCAGAGCATGCAGGAATTTACACAACCCTGTAAGAATTGACAGCAAGTTGTTAAAGGCATGGCTTGCAAAAAACATTATAAACACTGTTGTTAACTCACTAACACACACCAGAATTGATTAGGTGTGGAGAAAGAGGGAGGAAGGCAAGCATGAAAGGAAGTAGTGGGAAAACCATGATTTTTTGGGGTACAATTAAAAGCTTTGTTATTGACTTATGCTCTCAACTAACCATAAGGAGGCAGCCAGATTCAGATTGTTCTTTACCAGATTCCTTAAGTTTCCTTCACTATCAGTTTCCAGATTCAAGAGTTTTGATTCTTGTAATGCCATAAACCTAATTCTGAACAGAACCCTGCAGTTCTGTTTGTAATCTCTCCCTTCTTCCTTCCACATTGCTTTGTTAAACTGTCAAGCTGTCCTCTTCTACACCTTTTTTTAGCCTGTGTAGGTGTTTTTATTGGCTAGAGGGAAAAAAAAAAATAAGCAAATTTATTACCTCAAACGCTTTCTCATTGCTGGGTATATAATTAAAAGCAAAAATGACAGGAAAAATATCCAATTCACTATACTTCAGGACTGCAGTGTTTAACAGAATAGTTGTGGTGTGATCTGGCTGAAATACACAGCTCTTTCTTCTGTTAGGACCACAGATAATTCACTTGAAAAAGTTTCTGGCAGCAACCTCAGTGCATTACCAATATTATATCCACTTGAGGATCTCTGATAGTTCAGATTTTTATGACCTCTGAGGTGTTTATTCTTGTTGCAGGACTCTGAGAAGCAGACCTGGTTGTGGACAGCCAAGGTGTAGGAGACAACAATGACTCTGGCTGCTGCAGGGAAGTAATTGTCTCTGATTCT